CTGTGTGTGTCTCCTATATGATATATTTAACTGACATTTTTTATTGTAACAACCAACGATTTATACAGGAAAATCATGACTATTAACAAGGTTGCCCAAACTTTTGCATCCCTCTGTACTTAACTACAGTAACAAAGTATTTGCACTTTGTTACTTCCCACCTCTGCTCGCGGGGATGGACAGTACAGTAGTGCAATTCATCCTGATCGGTGATTGGTCAAAAGTCTAGAGTGAAAGGCACAGCCAAGATCTAATATTTTATACAGTCAGCATAACACATTTGACTTTCAGATCTGTTGCTTTTAAATGAGGATAAAAAGAGGATAAAAGAATAGCACAAAAATACATAACAGACAAACAGAGCAAAAAATTCATGCTTCTTTTGTATCCTGTTGTTCTTTATGAAATTCTCTTCAACAATTTGAATTCTGTCGCTCAAATCGAGGACTCTGTGTGCTTTCAGTTTTGTGCTACGCAAAGTATTATGCTCACAGTAAAATACCTGATCAGTAAAACAATGCCATGGTGATCAGTCAGCATTCCTCTCTTTGTTTATCTATAGCTACTGACTCACCTTTATGTTTTAAGTTACCAGGCAACAGCCCACATGTGGTTGTACACACAGCACGTAAACTGGTTCTGATCAGCTGTAAGTCAGACTGTTGTGCATATATTTGATTTTATTGATGAGAATATTTAATGGTATGAAAACAGTTACAGATTTTCAGTAGAGAAGAAGAAAAGACAACATTTAAATTATGAGAGATCATTAGAAGGAACTGAACATGATTTATTGATATAGAAAATTCAATTATGCTAATTAGGGATCAAACTCCAAAGGCCGATCACAGCAGAATGACATCCCAGCAGGTATGGGAACTGAAGGAAAAAACCTTTGGAGTCTAGAAGCAGGTGGTGGTGAAGATAAGATTGAAGCTTACATGGGTCAAAGACGAGGAGTAGGTGGGTTGCATGAAGTGGTTCATAAGAGAGAATGAAAGATGAGCAGTGCAATTTAAAATACACAGAGTGGAGGCTGATTGGCTTGAAAAGGGCAGGCAGAAAGATTATTGGACTAGAGCAATGATAGCAAGAACCACCAGAGAATTAATTTGGATGAACACGTTGGACTTACAAATTTGATTTATGCTTTTTTTTATTTTTTTCTGTGCTTGTTTTTGCAATGTTGGATTGTAACATTCAAGGATTTGGCTCTCTTTCTGTAGGATTACATCAACACAACCGAGATAAGTGACTCCCTGCATTGGGGGTGTCTAGTGTAATCCTTACATCAGTTTATTGTTTTATGTTATCTGAAAATGTATCAGTTGACCTAAATATTGTAAATCATAAAACATCATAGAGGGAACCTGTTCATGAGACGCACAATGTGGCCACACGATAAAATAAAAATCATCATAAATAATTTTATTTATTATAACAAATAAAAAACATTTTAGTTATAGCATAAAGTTCTTTAAAACAAAAAAACGTCAAACTTGGAAGCTTCCTTCCTTTGTGCTATAACTGCCAACCATTTTGTGTGAAAAACAGGTTATCAATCATGAACGAAAAACCTCAAAAACTGGTGAACAGATAAAAATCTGTAGAGAGGAGAACGAGACTTAAAATTGAGAAGAGCCTTTTTGTCTGTCTTGTTCTCTGTTCCCTGCTCTTTAGATGGGATATAGAAGAGTTTGGTAAAAAGTAAAAAGTAGTTCCTTGAGGATGTTTCTATTTTTTGTGCAAAGCCATCTGAACTTTAGTCTAACTGAATCCAAACTTTAGTCTTTTTTTAAGTTCTAATTATACTCAGCTTGAATCTGAAGAAAAAGAAGGAAAGTGATGTTTTATTTTCCTTATATATATATATTCTGTTGCCTACAATTTTGAGGGTGACTTTGTCTCCATCTAGTCAGGGGACTAAAGTAGATTCAGCGGATGAGGGAACCCTGAAATCTGTTGTAGCTCAAATCTACTGGAGCTATCATGTACAGGTTGTGATCAGCTGACCTGCTGCTCTTTGTGGATTTACACAAGTGAATTCAACCAGATGTCAGCAGATGTTTTATGAGTTGAACAGGCTGATTTCCATCCTCTACACTGACAGTAAATTGTTTATGCTGTCTTCAGCTGGTATGAAGGTGGAATTCAGTGAATCTAAGCATCATGAGCTTAACTGCAAATTCATCTCTGCTGCACTTGATGTAACCAAACTGAGCATGAAACCACAGCCACTGTGCAGCAGTCACACACTGTTCTGTTAAGTCCATCACAGAGCAGCAAACTAACCTGTTTATCCTGCAGTAGCCTGCAACCTTTAAATAAACCAGTTAGTCTGCCTCAGTTTGTTTAGCAGCACGTTTCACATCATGGAAAAACATAATGTCACATGTACAGGCCCAATATCTGGTTTAAAAACATGAGGAATTACATGTGAGCTTTAAATGTTACATCTGAGCTTTACTCTCTCCCTGCAAAACACAGCAGCTGGACCTTTAGCTACAACACACCGAGACAAACTGCACACAAACAGTTTGTGTGTTTGCTGATGTTTGTTGAGCTGATAAAAACCTTGCATTTAAAATTACCGGTACCTTAAAAAACTTAAAAAATTATTCCTTTCATGCTCGCTCCTCTTCTGTAGCGCTAGCTAGATGCTGAATACCGCAACTGCATTCATTCTGCAGTCATTCCAGTATTGTGTCAAAAACAAAAACAAATAAAAAAACACCATCCAACTATAAACTCCTGACTTTGTCACACATCATGGTGACTTTGGCACTTTTTACGCAACATCCTTGATAAACAAACATAATTGTTTTTCATGTTTTTCTGTTTAGGCTTAAATTGTTTTGATGTTTGGAGGCTCACAGTGACAAAATAATAACTCGTCCCAAATGCATTATACCAGAAGTAACCAGCCTGTTTTTAAAATATAAGGAGTAGAAAGTACAGATATTTGTTTTAAAAAATATAGGGGGTAAAAGTAACAAGTAGTCAAAAAAATGCTCAAGTAAAGTACAGATACCTGAAAATTGTACTTAACTACAGTAACAAAGTATTTGCACTTTGTTACTTCCCACCTCTGGAATCAACACATAATCTAATATTTGATACAGTCAGAATAACACATTTTACTTTCAGAGCTGTTGCTTTTAAATGATCTCAAAGAGGATAAAAAAATAACACAAAAATACATAATAGACACAAACATAGCAGAAGGAAACATACAGTATATGAAAAGGATGAAATTCATACTTCTCTTGTGTCCTGTTGTTCTTTATGAAACTCTCTTCAACAATTTGAATTCTGTCGCTCAAATCGAGGACTCTGTGTGCTTTCTGTTTTGTGCTACGCAAAGTATAATGCTCACAGTAAAATACCTGATCAGTGAAATGATGACATGGTGATCAGTCAGCATTCCTCTCTTATCTATAGCTACTGACTCACCTTCATGTTTTAAGTTACCGGGCAACAACCCACATGTGGCTGTACACACAGCACATAAACTGTTTCTGATCAGCTGACTGCATTGATTTCATCTGTAAGTCAGACTGTTGTGCATATATTTGATTTTATTGATGAGAATAGTTGTAGTGGTATGAAAACAGTTACAGAGTTTTAGTGGAGAAGAAGAAAAGACAAGGAGGAGGTGGCTTGCACGAATTGGTCTGTAAGGGAGAAAGATGAAAGATGAAGTGCAATTTAAAATACACAGAGTGGAGGCTGATCAGCTTGAAGAGGGCAGGCAGAAAGATGATTGGACGAGAGCAATGCTATCGGCATTAAGTTTTACAGCATGGAAAAGTGAAAGTGATGTAATCAATCGACCAGCAGCCAAACACTTGGGAAAGCACACTGACGGGTGACTGCAGATCTTCCTTAATGAACTTACACATAAGCTTCATTTAGCTAAATCTCCAGCATCTCCAACAAGCTTCGTTTTAACAAGGTTTTAGCAGAGTCAGACTAATAAAGTGTTTATGGAT